TTCATCTCAATACTTTGTTATATATCCTTTGTTGGCAATGATAGAGGTCAAATGTTTTCTGAAAGTCTTCACAAGATTTTCACACACTGTTGCTGGTATTTTGGCCCATTCCTCCATGCAGATCTCCTCGAATGTCATATGGTCAGATGAAACCAAAGTAGAACGTTTTGGTCTAAACTCAACTTGGAATGTCATATGGTCAGATGAAACCAAAGTAGAACGTTTTGGTCTAAACTCAACTTGGAATGTCATATGGTCAGATGAAACCAAAGTAGAACGTTTTGGTCTAAACTCAACTTGGAATGTCATATGGTCAGATGAAACCAAAGTAGAACGTTTTGGTCTAAACTCAACTTGGAATGTCATATGGTCAGATGAAACCAAAGTAGAACGTTTTGGTCTAAACTCAACTTGGAATGTCATATGGTCAGATGAAACCAAAGTAGAACGTTTTGGTCTAAACTCAACTTGTTACAGGCCTCTCTCATCTTTTTAAGTGGGAGAACTTGCACAATTGGTGGCTGACTAAATACTTTTTTGCCCCACTGTATGCCTAAAAGTTACCTGGTACCCCTTTACTTTTGTTGCAGTAACTACTGGCTAAAAATGATTTGCAGCGTCTTAAGTTTCACATTTTCTAGGGTAGCCTTCTCAAAGCTAGGACCTTTCTGATGTTTTGGACAAAAACTCTAATCATCACTTGCTGTTGGCTGCATTTTTGGGGGCTTATGGAATTAGCAGTTCAAAACTCCTGGAAAGACCCATATTGAGAAAGGCTGTATCAGGTGGGTAATCATAGCTTTTAATGTCAGGACAAAGGGAAGCTTCTTTTCCACCCGATTGCCTGTGTCTCAAAGGTTGTGATATAATAAGGCGTTGGGCATGAGTGAGAAATATCACTGAATGTTCAATAGAGAGGCACTGGAACAACACCCAAGGGCCAGTTCAATTCTCTTATTTGCATGTTACAGATGTTGCTCACAATCTCTTTGCAACATCCTTTGGTAAAGCCTGCTTTGTTCAGAAGCGAGTTTCAGCCCAACCTAGAGTGTTGTGTTTGTTTTTGTATTAAAAGTTGCACAGAAGCAATCATTGTGTGAAAGGCACATAATATATTGTTCAGTACTGTATCCAGCTACTGATGCTGTTCGGCAGGAATAGGAACTGCATTTTGTCTTCCTTTTGCAAGTACCTGCAAGGTCCAAATGCAGTCATTCTAGTTGTTTTGCTTTACGTTTTTGTTCCATTTTTCCCTTCTTAACAATGTGGATAGTTTGATTTGTTTCTTTACTTTAAATGTTAACAAATGGTGCTGCTTATTATTATTTGCCACATCATAATATCTTCAGAAATATGATCCAAAGATAATAGGGACTCTCCACAGTTCTTGCAGTGGCTTGGCAAGAATTTGTCCCTTCTAACAAACAACAATACAAAAGGTGTGTTGTTTTTTCCTCCCTCCATAAATCAGGCTGTTGAAAGAAAACAAATTTGGAAGGGGAGAAAATCAGGACTGGATTTTTGCAAGAAAAAGCTGAAACAAATTCTGCCAACTAAGTGTGTATTCAAAGATAGAACTTACCCTTCTTTAACTCTGAGCCTCTCTCTATTGAACCTCTCTCTATTGAACCAGTATACAAATACTGTACATCTCCAATTGATGGATATTTGCGTTGTTTTGTTTTAAAAAGTCCTGCAGGCCATGAAATATGTCTACCTGTATCTAAATAGTGCATATGGTTGCAATTATATCATTAATGACATACATAGTAACATCATAGATCATTTCTGCAGAATATTGAAACCCTTGATTTTGGCTTATGTTAATAGAGGAAGCTTCTAGATCTCAAGACTTTAAGAAGAAATACCCCTGAAGTACTTCTGGTAAAGTTTTTAGAAGCACATAAAGATTAAGGGAGGGTTATAGTAGTCGAGGAAATTAGATTTCTCAGCCCAGCTGCTACTTCTTTCTCACAGCCCCTCCCCTTCATCTGTTGTACACCTAGTGAAGCATTCATTTCATGGAGCCTATCACTCTATCTAGTATTGAATTGTATTTTAACTGAAAAACAAGCAAATTGCCTATAATCCAGGATTTATGTTAGCACAGTATTCCAGTGGATGATCAGAGGTCTTTTAAAAAACTGATTCTGTCCTTTATGTTCATAGGTACCTGAAGAACTGGTCAGGCTTTGTCTGCAAAGGCTCTCCATCTACAGACCTGGAGAAACAGAGGACTCCTCCCGCTCGTGATGAGCTTCTACTTGCCTAGGAAGACTGGAGATTTGGGGAGGATGCTCTTATGTAGCAAGAACAGCTAAATATAACACTTTTTCTGTTGCTTCAACCTATTCATTTCTCCTTCCCAATTTCTCCCCACAACTGGGATTCAGTCATTAAGCACTGAATTATCATCCATTTAATGCCCAGTAGCATTTATCACCATTAACGGACTTTTTTCTTTTTAATGTACTGTGGGAGTTCTGAAAATATTTTTCTTTGTTGGGCTTTTTTCTCCCACCATTCCTTTGGGCTTTCTCATGAGTAGTTATCTCACACACGGAGCATCCTGATGGCTTCATAAATTGGGAGCAGCTGCCCTTGTTCATGATGGGGCGAGAACAGGAACTGATCCAGGCCGTGAAAAATGAGGATGTACCTGGTGTACAGAAATTGGTAGCAAAGATCAAGGCGTCTAAAAGTAGTGAGTATCTCCTTACACCTTAATGTGATAGTTTGCCTTCACTTGGGTCAATACCCATCAGTAAATTAGCTACAGTCCTGTGGCTTTTGGCAAAGTAGCTACGGCTAATGGTTATGCAGTGCAAAGAGATGGGTAGTGATAGGTGACTCTTTGTCTGGCAATTCTTGAAGTATAAAATACCTCTGCTTATCAATCAGAAAATGTTACAGTGTTGGAAATAGCAGTGGCATGACTTCTATCGAAAGAGGACAGTCTTATCTTTGAAGACTATCTTCTCTTGGGAAGTTTCCTCTACTGGAAAGATTGGCCAATCCATGTCTGGTTTAAAAGTAGAGAATCATGAGAAAGGCCTTTGAGCTGTCCATCATCATGTAACATCTAGATAGAAGGCTTAGAGGCACTGAAGTGATGTGACCACACTCTTCCTCACTGTTGTAAAGTATATTGTGTTTGTATTTCAATTATCCTCTTACAAATACAACGTGGTTTTTTTTTCTTTTTGTCCTCTTAAGTTGGTACACAAGGATTTACCTTTATTGGAGACTTCCAGTTTTTCTTTCATGAATAGTGGCAAATAGCTCATGGTGTTATTGCTAACTATCTTCTTAATATGGCTGTAGTAGACAGGGAAGGTATGGGTGCTGGGGTTTTTTGGTTCATCTTGAATAATGGCTGCATCATTTTATTTTGTGTGTATGTATGAAATATGCCACTCTGTCAAAAGAAAGCTTGTTTTACCTTTTGCTTTTAATCAGAATAAATTACTGAGGGAGAATGCATGTTTGGGCCATCTGTTCAGTATTGGGAAACTTCAGATGGATAGAAGATTAAGAGGAAATAAAGCTTTTATGTTAAAAAAAAATGTCTAAAAGATTGGGAAAAGGATATAAGGAGGTTCCAGGCTTTACAAATAGATGGTTTTGATGCCTCAGAAGGCTAGAACTGGAGGAGAACTTCTATAGCCTTGAGATGGATTATACAGGGTAAGAAGAATAGAGATAATGGGCAGAGAAGAAACAAGAAGCCAAAAAATGTGTTTAATAGTTTTGTGGCAGATGTAAGGGTTTTAGATAAGATTTTAAAACGATCTGCCAAGAAAGGCAAACTTCAGGAAGCACCTCTGACTGACACCTGCTTGGTTGAGGATGGAAGCAAATGAGGAGCGGGTAGAGGACGTATTCCGGTCTTTGCCTTGCAGCTTCACAAATGCCATCCTTGCCTTCTCTGCTATGGGGACTACAACTCCTAATATTCCCAAACAGCAAAGTTGTTACTGCTTACCGTGTTGGATACCAACCATTTAATGAATCACTGAGTGAAGGTGGATCCCTGGAAGCTATAGAAGTTCTTCTTGAGAAAAAGAATAATGTGTATGGGGAAAATGTTGGCTCTGCATAGAATCAGAAAAAATTAAAGCAGAAAAACCAGTGCCTTCGAAGGAAAAGCTTAGCTGAAGCATGTCCTACATAGTGGGACAGCGCTTTATCTCTCCTGGGAAAGACACAAATAAATTTGGATTATACCTTCAGTCCCCCATATCTAATTGCTGATAGCTAGGTTAGGCAGTCTTTTTTCTGCCAAGGACTGCATTCCCATAAGATTAATATGCTGAGAGCTGCAATACCTGCCAGTGGTGGGAGAGATCACAATCAAAAGTGAGTGTGGCCCCCATTTTCTGTCTTTAAGACATCCTCTTTTTGGCTATTGAGAAGGAACAAACCTGTTTTGAGAGCTAAATTGTTTGTTTGCAAAGGGCTCTTCAAATTAGGCTGAGGATATATGAAACTAAGCCAAGGGCCATATACAGCTCTTGAATTGCAAGTTGCTGGCCCCTGATATATACAGTGAAATCTCATTTTTAAGGTCTAACTTGGTGGGGGGTTGATTATTCTCAATTGATGTCATCAATTTGCAATGCAAATGTCACAAATTAAAGCAAGGCTTTGGGGAGGTGGGAGGATTGTAATGGCTACCAAAGCATCTCGGGAAAGTGCCCTATGGGAGGAAAGGCATTCCTTGGTAAGCCTACCTGGTTGGCAGCCCGGCCTCTTGGCCTTGGCAAGAAGAGGAAAGAGGCACATCAGGAGCAGGTTTCTTTTCCTTGACTCACCTCCATAGCTGCTCCCCTCCCATATGTCTCCACCCTCCCTAGAACCAGCTCCTCCCCAGCCCCAATGAGGCCACCATGTGTTCACAATCCTAAGGGGGCTGCTGCACCCCCTTCCTGACTGATGGGGTCTGCCATCACCTTTGTTTTTACTTTGAGCATCACCTTCTCAGCTTCCAGACAGGGCTGAACAATTGCTGAAGGGCCTTTCTCATTGATAAATATATCCAGTTTAGGCCCCTCAGGTGAGCTGTGTGGCTTGTAAATGTAACTGGCCATGGAGGTAGCAAGCAACAGCCTCTTTCTGTAAGACAGGATGAGATGCTGACCATTTAAAAAAAAAAATCCTTGCAAGAACTCTTCCCCTGTCTCAATGGATTCAGAATTGTGTCTTTCTGATCAGCCTTCAGGGATCTCATGTATCTAAAAAAAGTCACTGCACATAATCAAGAATCAAGCACCAATCCCAGCAACAGGAATTCGAGGACATGTAGTTTAATATTCAGTCGGCATATTCTTGAGCAGCTTGAAAGATACAGGTCTACAAATGGGTCACAACATCTCTTACTGAATGGACCTATGGGGGCTATAGACAATTTTTTTTGAAGAGGGCAAGAGTGATATCTAGCTGTGCATGGGACGGAGGAGCAATGTGCTACCCCTGCTTTTGATAATTCAACTAGAAAGGGAAAACAGCATACATTCTGCAAACCTTGTACCTTTTCTAGGGAGGGCCCTTTTGACCCTGCTAAGTTGCCATAGGAGCTTTGCCCACAATAGCTCTGGCAGAGTCTCTTTTTTTTCTTCAAACATTTCTTCTTTCCTCGCTTTGAATGCTGAGGACTTTAATTGAAATTGTTAAACGACCCGTCAAAGCATTGGCCTTTCTCCCTGATGATCAATCACTTTCTCGGCTGGACGCGCTTGTTAACAAAGGGCCAGTTGGCTGGGTTGGGGTGGGCACAGTAGCCCCAGAGGAGAAAGGGGGGGAACCCAAGCTCAGCCTGACATTCCTGGGGGTGGGAAGGGGTTGGTGGCTATTGTCCCTTGAAAAGGACAATGTCTAGGAGTCTTTCTGTGAGGAAAAGGAGAGCCTAGTTCAGCTGGCTCATAAGAACGGGGGTCTTTCTAAAGCACATTACAGATTTCATTTGTTCTCTGAAAATGTTACCACCCTTGACATGTTTTTTTCTCCTCCCCATTACCAGTCCTAGCAAAACCTATCATCCTATGACTCTTAAGAAAGACACAGTCAAATGTTTGCTCAGAACTGTGGAACGACTTGGAATTTCTCCTCATTTTGGAGAGCCACAGTGATGCTGTCTGGGAATTGTGTTAATTTTGCAACTTCATTGTTGGGTTTGTTCACCTTTGAAAATGTTAGTGAAAGTTGGGGTGTTTTCTTTGCTTAGCCAACAGCGTGATTGTCACTAGTGGCTAGTCTTGTGTACTTGAATGGATTCTGTCACATTTAGTGTCTTTAGTTTTTCAACTGGCAATGGAGATGTGGCTAGACTGTATTTTAAAAGCTTGGGCGACCACCTGGGAGATCTTCCATAGAAGAGAATGTCCCATTTCTTGGTCTCTACAAGTACCCAGCTGAAATTGTTAATGAAGTCAATATATCATTTGTTCTATTTATTACTTCTATTCTGTCTGTATATCTACTATGAATGATGATGGGATTTGAAGTGCAAAGATGAAAGTGATATCTAACCATGCTGCCAGGATGCTGAATCAAACACATAGTGTGACGTTGTACACAGTAGGCTGCACTATATTTAAATGGTTGCATGGTGGAAGCTGACTATATATTTCCAAACTAGAAACAGTAAGAGGATATAATTGAAAGGGTGCCTTATGCTATGCCATGGTTCAGACTTTAGACACATTCATTCTTCTCTCTTTCTTCTGAACAAATGGTGCTACCTCCACATTTGTTTAAGCATGACTAGTTTAAGCAAACCATATTCATAAGCCACTTTAAATCTATTTCATACATTCCCAAAGGCAAACTTGAGCTTGCCACACACACACTGTACACTTAGTAGGGAGCTGCAGCTGAACCCTGATCACTGGAATATTTTTCATAAGAACCAGCGTTTATCAGTATGGACTGCCACACTAGTACTTTGTTTTTAGGTATACATTTAAAATATCTTAGGAGTACATCTTCATTAATTCACAGGGAATTAAAGCAGAAAGTACAAAACAGGAGATAATTTTCAGAGAAGTTAGACTGATATCTCTACTGGTTATGTGCTGCAGTTGCTAGATTAGTTGTAAAGTAGTGGTCTGTTGCATTCATATATTACATTTTCAGGTGAAACACTTGAGCCATCTTAACTATTTATATATTGAATAATGTATTTTTGTAGACTAGCAGCCAAGGGCTATGCCTGCTGAATTGATTGATTGATTATGTGCCATTAAGCCAGTGTTGACTCTCAGCAATCACGTAGATAGATTTCTCCATGACGATCTGTCCCCAGTCTGGTCCTTCAGATCTTCCAACAGCGCATCCACCACTGCTGTAATTAAGTCTGCCCATCTTGTGGCTTGTCATCCTTTTTCTTCTCTTTCCTTCCACCTTTCCCAGTATTATAGACTTCTCAAGAGAATTAGGTATTCACATAATGTGTCCAAAAGGCATGTTCAATACTAAACTTAATTTTCCTGGATTTGACTTCTGGTTCTAATAACAGTTACAAGCCTCAGAAGTCTGCTGGGTGTATTGGATAGTCTCTTGTTATAGGTTTTCTTATTTTAATACTTACATGAATCCTTCTGTGTGCGTTGGCAATCAGAATATGAACCCAGAGAGATCAAAGCAGTGTTATCCAGTTGTAAGTACAGTTTACTCTCTGTGGGTCTCTTTAGGTTGCTGTGTACT